CCTATTTCTGCTTTTGAGGTTCTGTGTGTGAAGCTGTTGACTGCTAAATGCTGTGACCGGAAGTGTCCAGAGTACTAGACCAGAGTAAATATGTGGTAACTTACATACAGAGTGGTAATTTACATACAGAGTAATGTATGTACTGTCAGTCAGAAAACTGTTCCAGCAGCTGAAGCTGTCCAAGCGCAGCGGGTGTTCTTATTCTTGATGAGCTTGATGCAGCATGCACAATTAAAAGATGTCTCACATCTGGCTGAAGATGCCCTTCAGTCTGTCTTTTGCAGCCTCCCCTCAGCTTTTGCAGCACAGTGTTTGGACCAGAGTCGGATCTGATGTCTTTTCCCTTGTGTCATTCTTCAGCTGCACCCAGGTTTTTGGGGTTTCTCCTTCATTAATCAAGCTGACCAGTAATTAATTTGATGCTAACTGCTACTATTCAGCAGATGAGGTCACCAAGCATGGTCTTGTTTCCAGGACAGGATTAAGAAGCTCCTGGGAACAAACTGTTTGTTGCCATTTTTGCCTGTTTAGGCAGGGTTCAGTGCCTCTGTGTTTTGTGGATTCAATGCTCTCCTCCTTGCCCCTCCAGAATGTGATCGATGGGGACCTGTGTGAGCAGTTCAACTCCATGGAGCCTAACAAACAGAAGAATGTGGCCGAAGAGCTGGACCGGACCCCACCCGAGGTGTCCAAGAAGCTGGAAGACATCCGCACGCGCTATGCTTTCTGAGCGGCAGCTGGCAGGAGCAGAGCTGCTCGCTGGGCGCCTATGGTTGCTCTTCCAAGCACAGTTGGGAGGAGGAATGTGTGCTTTTTTTCCCTTTTTAAATATTGGTTTGCTCCTCTTGGTTTATGTTTCAAAGTAACGTGACTCCAGTAAATACAGTATCAGGTATTAGGTCTCCCAACACATCCCGCTGCTTATGTGAAGGCTCCTGATATTCTGGCTTCCAGCCACAGATGCCCTCTTGGGAAGTGCCTGAGGAAGGACGCAGACTGACCCTCAGCCCCATCTCCTTGGCCCCCCTTTAGGATGGGGGAGCCTGAGGGTGTCTTGTGCTGGCCTTGCAGAAGGCCCTGTAGGGCAGATACAGCTGAGCCTTTGTAGGATCAAGTGGGTTTTGCAATTTCCTGGCTTTTTGGTCAAGGAAAGAGCTGTGGCGTGACTTGGGATTGCCAGGCTCCTTTTAGTAGTCGGTGGCGAGAAGCTCTGGGCTTCCACCAGTCCTGGGAGCAGCCAGTGGGAAGCCTGGCTGTGCGGAGGGCATAACTGTCACACTTGTCTTGAACGTTTTCTTCTGAATTGCAAGGGGTTTTTGGACTCACCGTTTCTGACTGTTTTCCCTGTAAATAGAGTTTTGTACAATGTTGACTCTCTTGGGGGTGGGGAAGAGCGAGGCCTGAGTCTGGGACTTGATTTGTTTCATAATAACTTTGGCAAGAGCAGTGTCTCCAAGCTGTGACTGTGAGCAGCACATGAAGAATAAAAGCCTGTTTTTTAACTAGCCTGACTCTGGGGCTCCTCTCCTTTGCAGCAGCTGTTGCTGACCTGTTTGGAGCAGGAGGGGTGGAGGAGGACAGAAACGTGCACACCCTGAACCCCATGCCCTGTGTGGATGCTGGAGCCGTGCTGCGGCCCTGCAGGTGTTGGCCTGTAAGCCCCTCTCCACCCCTGCTTCCCTGCCTGCTCTGCCTGGAGCTGGCCCCGAGCCCGGCAGTGTGTCCCGCAGCTGGAGCCGCCGGTCTGCCCTGGGACACACGCAAAGCAGGGGTATGTGGAAAAAAAGGATGGGAGGGAAGGGTCTTTCCCCCAGCTACTGTTTCTCCATCCCTTCCAGGGCATGGCTGTGCTTCAAGGCTCCTTCTCTTGCCCTGCGAAGCAGCTGCAGTTCTGGGAGGAGCAGCTGGCTGCCAGGAGGCTGGGGGAAGGTGTTTCTCCCTGCTGCCTGCTAGCTGGCTGTGAAGGCTCACAGCCGGAGGTCGCCCACGCAGCAGGTGCTTCCCGGTCTTGCCTCCAGCCTCAGCTTTGGTCCCTGGCTTAAATCCTGCCACTGGGTCTGTCTCTGCTGAGCTGGAGACCTCAATGCCTGGCAACCCATGAAGGGGCCCTGGACTCCTCCCTGCCCTGGGCTCAGAAAGGCAGGTTGCCCCCGGCCCAGCGTGACGCACTTGCATGGAACAGGCTCCGGGTTCCTCCTCTGGCATGTGTGCTGTGCGAGGGCGAGGGTGAACATGTGCCCTTCTGGCCTGTCCTTTGCACCCCTCTCCTGCTTACGCTTGTTGCTACAGGTCTGTGTTGGCAGGGGCTTAACCCAGGGCTGCACCCTTTGGTTGCCATGTGGCACCCAGTCACTGCTGCTTGCCCCACCCATCTGCCTGGGGGTGAAGGGCTTTGTGCTCTGGCCGCCTCAGGGGAGCGGCAAATAGGTTGAGCTGAACTTTGTGGAGTCCAGCAAATGGCTTGTCAGGGATGTGGGGTGCCCACCCAGTGCTCCCAGCGTTCACCATCCCCTTGTCATCCCCTGTGGTGTGATGCCCGCTCTGGCTCAGGGAGCGCTTCCAGGAGAGCTCCACCAGCACTTGGCCTTCGGTGTCTCGGTAGTCCTAAGGGTGAAATCACGGCTGCGGGTCTTGGGCTGTTCCCAAACTGGTTCCAAGCACAAGGTTTTGCTTCCTTGGCCGGGCCTGCCTAAATAACCTGTCTCTAGCACAAAGCAAAGCCAGGGAGGGACGGAGCCCTAACCTGGAGGCTGCCCTGGGAGCTGGCGGAGCCCCCAGACCCCCTTTGCCTGGGGGGCTCCAAGCTGGGGCTGCACCTGGCTCCCAGCGAGGGCTTGCCCCTGCCCCTGGGCCCCTGCAGCAGCAGGGTGCTGGGCTCCTGCTGACATGTGGGAGCAAAGCTCATGGGGCCAGTGCTGTGTGCCAGCGGCTGTTTGCCTTGGGCTTGCACCAGCGGTGATTTCCAGCCTGGCGAAGCCAAGGAGGGCAAACCGCCTCCAGCACCCTGCTGCACAGCTCCGTGTTTTCCCTTCTCTTCCTCACCCCATCTCAGCTGCCAAGCTGATGACTACGTGGGCAGGGAATGCTATTAAATGGCTTCCTCCTAAGGCCCCCAGCAGAGGAGGGCAAAATCCCTGCGGACACCTAGGTGAGGAGTTGGACCAACCCCTTCCCCTGCCCGGAGCTGAGCATCTTGCCCTGAGCCTGGAGCTGGGAAGGGGGCAAGGGCTGTGCCCAGGAGCTGGCCAGGGCTGGGTGGAAGCTTGGCAGGAGAGCGGCTGTGGCCCTGACTCCATGCCAGGGGAATCCCAGCACGCTCTCCTTGCATGCAGAAGTGCATTCCTTCCCACGCGTTTCCCTGGGAGCGCTGACCCCGCTCTTTGATAGCTGGTTTCTCTCGCCGCCCCCTTGGACGCCTTGCAGCCCCCAGCACCGAGGCAGCCAGCTCTCCCAAGGGGCTCTTTGGGGTGGTGGCGGCAGGGGGGAGGATGGTGTCCCGTGTCCCCCATCCCCTGCTCCTGGCAGGGGTTCAGCCCCAAAGCATCCTGAGAAGACGGCACGGGCTTGGGCCAAAGGGAGTGGGAGTCCTGCTGGCCTGGAGACAGCCAGGGATCCCCCCAGCCCCTCTGAGATGGGTCTGGGCAGCCTCCCCTGCCCGCAGCACAGCCCTTGCACAGGCATGTGCCGGGAAGCGCCGGGCTGACGCCCACTTCCAGTGCCCCGAAACGTGCCTGTGGGTGCCCGAGCCCAGTGAGCACCCTGGGCCGCCTGGCCGGGGGAGCCCAGCGCCCTGGGACCAGAGCACCCTGGGGAGCCGGAGGGTGCGCGCTGTGGTTAGCCGAGCACCCCTGGGGAGCATGTGGGCACCCAGCTGGGTTGTGTGAGCACCCTGGGGGCACGCTGCAGGGCTGGTGCAGCCCCCTGAGGGGCAGGGGGCCACGTAGCGCAGTTAGCCAAGCACCCCGGCGGCACCCAGCGGGGGCAGCCAAGCGCCTGGGGGGCACCTAACCCGTAGCCAAGCACCCCAAGGAGCAGGGGAGGACCCAGGAGGACTAGCCGAGCACCCTGGGGACACCCGGCTGGCTGGCTTAGCCGAGCACCACGGGGACACCCACCTGGGCTATCTGCGTACCATGTGGACGCCCACCCGGGCTAGCCGCCCACCCCGGGGACACCGGGCCAGAGCAGCCGAGCACCCGCGGCAGGGCAGGGAGGGACGAGCGCCGGGCCGGGCCGAGCTGTGCGGGGCGGGCGCTCGGTCCCCGCTCCCCGC